AGGATTTTAATTTTTTATTTGTGTTTTCCTTATCTAAAAAGATCTTTTCAGCTTTTTATTTTGAAATAATTATACCCTCACAGAAAGTCATTAAATATATCACAGAGAGGTCATATGCACCCTTCAACCAGTTTCCTGCCCTGGTAACATCTTACATAATTATAGTTCAATATCAAAACCAGTCAATTGACATGGGTGCAGCTGCAGAGCTTATTCACCCTTTATTGGTTTTACATGCATACACACTGTGTACTTGTGTGTGTGTATGTATAATTCTCTGCAGTCTTACCATATATGTAACCACCACCACAATCAAGATTCAGAACTGCTTCCTCACCCCAGAGATCTTATATGCAAAAGTACTTCCCTTTAAAACACAACATGATCCAGTCCCTGCCTAGCTTAAAACTCTTTAATGATTTTAAAGCCCCAAATCCTTAAATAAGGGCTACAAATGCCTGTGTAATCTGGCTCCAACGACCTTGCCAGCTGCCTCCTGCCTCTCTCCTTTTGCCTGCCAAGCCCCTGCTCCCTGGCCTTTCTTTTCCTTTAACTCGCCAGGCTCCTCCACCACTCGGGGCCTCCACACATGCCGCTCTCCTCACCTGCAAGTCCCCGCTCCCCCGCAGCTAACGCCTCACCTCTCAGGAAATGTTTTCTTGGCATCTTGGACTAGGTTAGGCTCTCCTGTGGTTGGTTTTCATTGCCAGTTGTGATTTTCCTTCATGGCACCGACCACACAGTTATACATAAATAGATATGTGTGTAGTTCGTTAATGTGAGTTCTCTCTAATTAGAGGTGTTTGGGGTGTCTTGGTCACCACTGTATCTTTTCTGTTTAGTGCACTGGCTGGCCAACAGGTGCTCGATAAATACTCGTTCATGAACAAGTTCATGAATAATTATTGTAAGCTGGCTGGTTGTGGCTGGGGTGTGACCTGAGGCCATGGAACTGGGCAGAGTCAACTTGCTTATATGGGCATCTGCTCTATGAACTCATATGCAACCTTCCCAAAGGTGCCCTGTCTGAGAACCTGGGCATTTATGGCCCATACCCAGAATCTCAAACTGGTATTATCTCTCCTTTTCCAATCCCAGCGTTCTCTCTGAGAGACTGGAATAGGGAACAGCCTTGGCCAGTGTTCTTCTTAGGCAGATCTTTGAGATGCTTTCAAGAATGTCAGCTGGGTATTCATCCAGGCTTTTAATGCCAGGCTTCTTTCTCTTCAGGGTCACTGCCAAGGTGTCACTTTGAGAGGGTTATTAGTCCAGAGCTGTGGGAGTCTCTAAGTTGGATGGTACCTAAGAAGCCTTTGAAAAGCTTTTATATCAGCCCTTTCCTCGGTACTTCTACCTGCTGTTTGCTAAGTGGCCCCCACTTCCCCCATCAGTGAGTCATTTCCATCCCCACTCTTTCTCTCTCAGAGCTAACAGTGTGGTTTGTTTTTGTAGAGCCCCAGATTTGAAGGGTCGTTATGTTGACTGAATAGACAGTATGTCCCCCAAATGACCATGATGTAACTAGCTCTCTGAGGACGTGGAAGGGAGGAAATGGGGGCCTCCAGCTGGGATGTGGCTTTACCACCGGGTGTGGTACCACATGGGGTCCTGACCATCTGTGGAGGGCACCGGGTTGGTGAAACTAACTCTAATTAGCACTCCCCACCCCCCATCCCTAGTGTCCGTTTTTAGCACATAATCCCTCATGCAAAAGAGGCAACACAGTGCACTATATGGTGGGTTTGGCAGAGTGGGAGCTCTGGAGAAGGGTGAACCCCACCAGTGGGCAGAACTGTCAATTCTTTTGTGACAGAGTCAGTAATGGGCTTTGCCCTGGATGCTCTGGGCAGATTGACAGCACTGGGAAACCTGAGAGTATCATCCAAGTTTTCTTTCCCTGCCAAATAGAAGGCCAGAGGTCGTCACATTCTGTGGCTCAGAGCTGACCTCTCACTGCTGGAGTCTCTCTTTTGGGTGAGCTATGGCTGAGAACAGAATCCGGCTCCACAGGCTAAGCCTCAGTATTTGTCCACTGGGGCTGTGGGCTCTAAGGTTGAAGCTTAAGGTCCCTCCCCGGTCCTGCTATTGGCTTGGCTAATGTGAAAAGAGGTAGAGCCAGCAACCAGTCCTTTCAGGATAGACCTGGCCATTGTGTGCCCTTGGCTGTGACGCTGCACTTCTTGGCCCTCCCTGCCAGGCCACCTCCCCCATAGCCCCTGGTACTGTGCAGGGCGTGGAGTCCAGTTCCAAAAAGCTTTTGTGTGTTGCTCCTGCCACAGTTGATGCTGGGGCTAGGAGATGATTTGGGTGACTCTCTCAGTGCTGCCTTGTGCAGGTGGTGTGCAGTGTCCTTTCTCTTTCTCTCTGGTCACTGCTTTCTGACCTCATAACTGGCTACACCTCTAGGGGGAAATGCTCTTAGGGCACGAAGATTTGAATGGCATCTATCCCCGGGTGAAAGGGTTAATACCTGTCTCTTTCTTTAGGTCTGGATCTGATGTAACTATGGGTGGTGGGGAGTGTGGGTAGGGCCCCATCTGGGTCCCTAGTTTGTTTCCCAGCACATGCTAAACTCACCCTCCCTTCAAGTTGGACATAAGTGTGTTTTCAGTTAGTAGTGTTGAGGGGTGACAAGTCAGACCCCCTGGCCCTAACGCTGCCATTTCTGCTTCCTCTAGGTCACCCAACCTGCCTGCAGTTCACCCTGAACATGACTGAGGCTGTCAAGACCTACAAGTGGCAGTGCATAGAGTGCAAATCCTGCATCCTCTGTGGGACCTCGGAGAATGATGTGAGTTTGGGGCTCCCCACGGGAGGTAGACATCCACGGAGCTAGGAGTCCTTGGAGGGGTGGAGAGGAAGGCCGGACTCTCGTAACTGGGCTCTTGAAGAAAGTGTCAGTCAGGACCTTTCCCTTACCCTTTGACCCCAGAACACTGGGACCCTTGTACCACAGGGACCTTTGTTACCCTCAGGAATAGATTATATAGAAAAGACAGGATACATGATTCTTTTCCTCTATTTATTAGTTTTCAAAATAATGGTGGTTTCAACACCTATTCATGATGAAAACACTCAAGAAAATAGAAATTGTGGGGTGCTTTCTTAATATGATAAATTTTTATACCTTAGAATTAAAGCCATTACGTTATTTATGGGGAAACACTAGAGGTGTTTCTACTAAGATCAGGAACCAGATAAGGATGCCCATTGTCTCTACTGCTTTCATCATTATTTTAGAGATATTAGCTAATGCAATTAGACAAAAGAGATTAACTAGAAGCATAAGATGGTAACAAAGCAGTAAAACTCTATTTCTTTTTTCTTAGTTAAGCTCTATATCATAAACTATAATAGTATATCTGAAAAACCCAAGAAAATCAATGGTAAAGCTAAATCAAACATTAAAAGTGGCAGGGTATAAAATTACCATGCAAAAATCAATAGCCTTCATATGCACAAATAATAAATAATAAAGTTAGAGGACATAGTAGAGAAACTCTACTTACAATAGCAACAAAGAAAAAATACTTAGAAATAAGCTTAACAGTAAATGTGTAACACTGTATGAAGAAAATTTTAAAACACCTGTGAAAAGATATGGTAGTCTTGAGCAAATGGAAAGACNTGTGTAACACTGTATGAAGAAAATTTTAAAACACCTGTGAAAAGATATGGAAGTAGTCTTGAGCAAATGGAAAGATNTTAAAACACCTGTGAAAAGATATGGTAGTCTTGAGCAAATGGAAAGACATTGTGGATCTTGGATAGAATGAGTCAATATAAAGATGTCAGTTCTTCTTAAGTTAATTTATAAATTTAATTCAAGCCCAATAAAACCACCAATTTTTTTTTTTTTTTTATGGAACTAGACAGGTTGATACTAAAGTTTATATGGAAAAACAAGCATGCAAGAATAGCCAAGAAAACACTGAAAACAATAAATTTTGAGGGGAGACTAGACCTATGGGATGTTAAAACATACTATAAAGCTTCTGTAATTAAAACAATGCAAACATATAGACCAATGGAATAGAATAGAAAAGCTGTAAATTGACCCCACTACATATGGACGTTGAGTATAGAATAAAGGTTGCATCTAAAATTACTGGATCAAAGATGGACATTTTTTCATGGATGGTGCTGGGATAATAGGATAACCATTTGGGGAAAAGTAAAATTAGGTCCACATGACACATAAGAACAATCTCCAAATGGCCTGGGGATCTCAATATAAAAAATAAAACCATATTAATACTTGAAGAAAAAGGGTGAATTTGTCTTTAAATATAAGGAAAGATTTTCTGTGACTCAAAATTTAGAAGCAATAAGAGAAAGTATTGAAAATCTGATCATATAAAAATTTGCATAGTAAAAACCACATTAAGTAAAAGGACAACTGGCAAACTGGGAGAAAATATTTCCAACAGATACCACAGATAAAGAGTAATATCCCCAATATATAAAGAACTCTTAAAATTTGAGGGATAAGGGACCAGAAACCTGCTAGAGAATGGGAAAAAGACATGTAAGACAATTCACAAAAGATATATAAATGGCCCCCAAAATTTGAAAAAAATTAAAGTTCAAATGTACTTATAAAGAAATTCAAATTAAAACAAAATGGAGATTCCATTTCTTTTCTATAAAATTGAAAAAAATTAAGAAGCATTACAATACATCCTGTTGATGAAACTGGGAAAACTAGCACCTTCACGCATTGTCAGTGGGAATATAAAGTGGTACAGCCCTTCTGGAGGGAAATTTAATAATACCTAACACAACTACTATGCACTTACCTATTGACTTAGCAATCTCATATATAGGAATCTACCCTAAAGATGGGGGTGGGATAACACTATGAAAATACGTATGCATAAGGTTATTCATGGTTGCATTGTTTATACTTGCAAAATACTGGAAACAACCTAAATGCTCATATGTAGAATGGTTGAATAATGATGGTACAGCCACACAATGGAGTACTGTGCAGCTGTTAAAAAATAAGACAGATCTTTATGAATTAATATGGAGTGATTTCTAGGATATATTGTTAAATGAAAAAAAAAAAAGTAAAATATGTATCTATAATATGCTGCCATTCTTGTAAGAAAGGCATGAGAAAATATACATGTATCTGTTCACTGTGTAAAAGAAATACAGGAAGGATAAACAAGAAGCTGAAGAGATTGGTTATCTACAAGAGTGAGTGGGAATGGGGTAGAAAGAATGGAGAAATGGGAGTGGGATAGTGTGAGTAAGGGGGGTGACACTTCTCTGAGAATGAATTTTTGTATAGCTCTGAGTCTTAGAACCAGGGTGTTGTTTCACATACCCTACAATAGATAAATACTGAAAAACAACCAGGATGTGGGGGAACCGAAAGTGGAATATGAACAGTAACAAATTACCCTAACTATAATATAAATAGATAACACAACCATACTGAAGGGTGGGGTAGGAAAGAACTAACTTAAGTCACTTTGGAAAGTAGTATTTGTATATTTTAGAGCTAAAGACAGAAATAATTATACAAATTTTGTACTCTAGTGAATAGATTTGTTTCTCACAGGCATGTGAGTTAGTCATTCTGAAACTACTTTACATATATACAGGTCTTAACTAATAACTATATATCGTGAATAGTGAGAGTCAGGTTTCTCAATGTCATAGAAAAATATTCAAAATAAAAAAATGTTTACATGGTGTTGGGTTTGAACATGAGGTATTAGTAGGAATTTATGATTTTTAATATAATATACTGTATATATATTTACATATATCTATAGCTATCTGTATGTATATACACATATGGATAGATACAAAAATAAATATAGATGTGTGCATGTGTGCGTACACATACATTTATTTATTTCCTAACTCTGTCAGCTGGGAGGGCCTAGAGGCAATTACAACCCAGAAGCAACGAGGACCTGTAGCACCTAGATATTGATTTCTAAATACAGTTGGCCCATGAACAATGTGGGGTTAGGGCACCAACCCCTGTGCAGTAAAAAAACTGCTGTATAACTTCTGGCTGTAAAAACCAGCAGGGATTTTAACTAAGTGAGATGGAGGGCTGCTAGAGTCCCAGGCATTCCTCTTTTTTTTTTTTTTTTAAATATATCTTTATTGATTTCAGAGAGAGGAAAGGAGAGGGAGAGAGAGATAGAAACATCAATGATGAGTCATTGATCGGCTGCCTCCTGCACGCCCCCAACTGGGGATCAAGCCCGCAACCCGGGCATGTGCCCTGACTGGAATNCAGAGAGAGGAAAGGAGAGGGAGAGAGAGATAGAAACATCAATGATGAGTCATTGATCGGCTGCCTCCTGCACGCTCCCAACTGGGGATCAAGCCCGCAACCCCGGCATGTGCCCTGACCNCATTGATCGGCTGCCTCCTGCACGCCCCCAACTGGGGATCAAGCCCGCAACCCGGGCATGTGCCCTGACTGGAATCAAACCCCTATCGCCTGGATCCTAGGTTGACGCTCAACCGCTGAGCCACACCCAGCCAGGCCCAGGCATTCCTCTTAAAGGGCCCACACACCGGACTTGACTTGGACTCACTCACTCTGAGCTCCAGCACTGGAAAGGTACCAGGGACAAATGGAGAGGAACTGAATTGTTTGGCATCAGGGCTAGAGCTGGAAGGACAGCTTTCTCCCAGACAGAAGTGCTGGCAGAGGCCATTGTTTCTTTGATGAGCCCCTCCTCAACAGAGTCGGCAGGCAGACACCATATTTGAATTTCCATCAGCCTGGCTCACACTGTTCTCTTCACCCCGGGGGTTCCCTGAGGCCCCTGTCCCATCTAATTTGCAAGCCCACCCAAACTGTTTCCAATGGCTTTTCCATACAAATGGCTTGTCTTGGCTCATGCCTTAGACTTCCCTAAAATATCTCAAACAAGCAGCATCTGGCCTCAGTGTGCCCCATAGCTCTTGCTAAGGCAGCCAGCCTTTGAAGCTTGACCTATCCTGGGCACCTCCAAGCCCAGCACAAGAAGCAGCCATCTGCAGATCACTTTGTAGCTAATGCTGGGTGGCCCTGAGCAGAATACAGGTCGCGGCTGACCTTGACCTGCACCTCCAGGGAGGTCCCAGAGCCAGTGTACCTGGTGAACAACTACAGACCACCACATCCAAACACCACCCAACTACCTCCACAAGCAACACACTCAAGAGGCTGACTCAGTGGGCACTAGGACCCCACTGAAGCAAGTTCTGTTCTGTGGGGTTGGCCCCTGCACAGCTGATCCTCCAACAGTGGTCAAAGCCATTCCTTACAGCTGATTGGCCTGGGGATAACTACCTTCCATTGCTATGCCAACAGCAATCAAGGCTCAACTACAAGAGGAGGGTGGACATAGTCCACAGAGTGTGGGGAGGGTACACCTTGAGTGCCCAGCTCTAGTGAATGGGGAGGCTTTGTTACTGGACCCTACAGAACACCTACTACATAAGACCACTCTACTAAGTCTGGGAGATGTAGCACCGCTACCTAATACATAGAAACAAACACAGGGAGGCTGCCAAAATGAGGAGACAAAGAAACATATCCCAAATGAAAGAACAGAACAAAACTCCAGAAAAAAACCTAAATGAAATGGAGACAAGCAATCTGCTAGATGCAGAGTTCAAAACACTGGTTATAAGGATACTGGATGAACTTAGTGAGAACGTCAGCAGCATAAAAAAGGACATGGAAACCATAAAAAAGAACCGGTTAGAAATGAAAGATACACTAACAGAAATGAAGAATAATTTACAGGTTATCAACAGTAGAGT